TAATCATTCAAATGATATTGGATCAGATAATATGGGAGGTTCAAGTTTAGATAATATCCTATCAATTGATTATACTTTAAATTCGAATGTAGGTATGATATTCTTCAATTTTAGAATTTGAGTATAATCACAAAAGTATTACGATTTTACAAATATATTATATATTTGTTGCAGTTGATAACAATGGTCAACGGAGGACTAGAGGTCGGACAACTTTGAAGGAATTGTTTACACTACCTCCTAATAAGCGTATTGTAGTGTCTGCAAACTCTGATAGGCAACCAATTGGTGAAGAGGCTCAACTATTAGCTGAATTTCTAGGCATGTTAGCCCGTAATGGAATGAAATTGCCTATTCATTACGAAACATGGCATAATATTTCATAAGAAATTAAGGTCGGTGCGTTAAACTTTATTAATGTATTAGTATAATTAATTAGATATATTCAAATTTTTTATTTTACATTTTGTTTACTTATTCAAACTTTTCTTATTGTATTATTATAGTCAAGATTTGTACTTAAAATACCAACTTCATATGTGCTTAAGTCCTTGGGAAAAAAATAGAAAGATTATAAGCATAGTTTGAAGAAAAAGCATTTCGATTGAAATAGTACTGTAGAGGCGATGATACAAAATCTATCCCATAATGTGATTAGGTGATAATATGAACAACTGGTTAGATTTTGATTCTCAAGAAAAGGAGAGGTAGTAGTTTATAACTTTGTATAATAGAATGAAATGATGAAAGTGTTTGATGGTTTAAGTTGGTAATATTTGTATTTCTATCATATAGGCAATTATTTTTTATGACAGAAAAGTGAATAGATTGGGATTGGTAGCAGAAAGCAATAGAAATATAGCCACACAAGTGGATCAAAAAGTTTTGCAAGAAAGCAAAAAGAAATCGTAAGTTTATGATAATTAACTTATTTCCATTAATGAACTTTTTCTGCCGTTGAAAGGTAAATATGAAAATTAACATTTATTGTTCTATTTTAATAGATTTGATTGTTTCAATACATGATATTAAACTTATCGAAAGTTTTAAACTTAGTTACACAGATGATATGCATGAAAGGTTACTGTTTACGTATATTTATGCCTTTATTATCTGGTTGTTATTATTGTTGATTTTTAATAGTTTCAATACCTTCAATACTTGATATTAAACTTGTTCGATTGATTGAAATTGGTTTTTATGATTGATATGAGAGTAAAAGTTGTTAGTTATCTCTGTTTGGGAATATTTTTGCATATAAAAGGCAAATATACAAATAAATTTTGGATGCCTTTCAACATATTGAATGACTTTAATCCTTCGTATTAAACTGAAAGAAAATAATTGAATATGGTTTTCATGATCGATATGTGTGAAAGCCCAAAATGCATTTATTCTTTGCGTAATTTAAGACTATTGTGTTGTTACAGGGTTAAAATATAAATAAAAGATTACTCGAAATTTTAATATTTGATTGATAGGATTGATATGCATAAATAAGTTACGGTTGATATGTATCAAATCAAATAACATATGTTTTTGTATATGAGAATGAGATGGGCGGTACAATTAGACGTGTGAAACTTTTTCACGTAACACAAAAAAAAAGATGAATTTTACATGAATGTCGAAACACAAGAAATTATGATAATTTGTATCATCTATTTTAACATAAAGTAAATATTAACTGTTTTTAACATATAATCAATTAGTCATTAAACTTGATTGTTGTATATGAAAATTCACAGGAAAAATCGAAAAAAAAAATAGCTGCTGAGATTGAAGTAGCATATGAAGATTCTCTCAACATGCAAGAAATGAAAAATCGGATATTCATAAAAGTTGCTGAAAAAGAAAGGCATGGACGGGTCTGAGGCCTTGGATTGGGTCCAACACCATCTGCCTACTATGGACATAACTCTTCGTAATTTACACTCTTAGCAAGTCAGTCTTCGCGAGATATTTCAATATTGAGAGGGGAGTTGCAAACTATGCAACAATATTTTCAGCAAATGAAAGCAGAAAGAGAACAGGGACGTGCCAAAATTGAAGAAGAACATACTAGAATGGAGCTAGAACGTGTAAAATTTCAGCAATTGCATAATCAATTCGATTATCTTATGAATTTTGTGTAAAAATAATTTTCAGGAAATGATCTTGGTGCTCCATCAACTCAGGTATTATATTTAGTAAATATTAAAAGTTTTAAATAAAAAATAAGCATACAATGAAGTATTAAAAATTGTATAGTATTATTCAGTAGGTTGTTGAGCACGCTAGTGACCAAGGTGCAAAATTTTCTTCATTAATTGGAAGCCCGCAAAATGTATGTAGTCATCCATTTCATACATTTTAATTTTTTATTTAGTTAATGTATTTACAATATTTGAATGTTATTATACTAATTATTAAACTTTATATTAATTAGATGTATATTTAAACGTGAGTGAAGTTACTATTAATTTCGATTTCTGAATTTAAGCTTTTTACTAAAAATAAAATTTATTATAAAAATTGTAAAAAAAAAACTTTTACATAATGATGGCGTTTGCATTGGCCAATGTCGCTAAATGAATAATTTAGTGACGTTTGTAGCATAAAATGCCACTAGTAGTAACGACGCTCTTTCCAGCAAATATCGCTAGTTCAGTGGAGTTTTTATAGAAATGTCACAAAAGCAATGGCATTTTTCTCATAACAACGTCACCGAATTAGCGACGTCTAAAAGATACAAACGCCGTAAATATTGAGGTATTTTTAGATTCAAACGTCATGCAAAGTAGCGGTATTTTTTGTTACAAACGCCGTCAACGGAACGACGTTTTTCTCATAAAAATATCACTGAAATAGCGGCGTCTCTAAGATATAAACGCTGCTAAAATGATGACGTTTCAAATACAAACGCCACTAATATTGAGATGTTTTCTCGAAAATGCTGTTATTTACCGTGATACGTGTATAGGCGACACTCTGTGTGACGTTTTTTCGCAAACGTCGCAACCTTATAATGGCGTTAATAAACGCCGCTAAAAGATTAAAAAAATGTCGCTAAAAATTAAAACCCTTGTAGTGTACGGAAGAGGTAACTATACCCTCTTTTTTATAGAAAAATTGTTTTTAATTGATAATTACTCTTAACTTTCAGTTTTCTCATAAGATAATAAGAAAATGTAGGGGAAAATTATTTTTATATTATCTTTTTAATTCATATTTAGTGCATAAAATGATATATAAGATGTGATAATAATTATTTTATACTATATTTAATTTGTATATAAAGAAAGAGATATGATTGTAAGAAAAATTAATTATCTTCTTAGTATAAGATAATTCAATTCTCTTAAAGTGAAAAGAATTATTTTTAATTAAAAAGATTGAATTTACATATCATATTATACCTTTAAAAATTATATTAATAACTTAAATTTTATAAATTTTAAGAAAAGATAATTTTAATTAATAAATAAAATTATCTTATCATAATATTTACACATATCAAATATAAGATATGATAATATTATTTAATTTAATTTAATTTATAATATTATTTTATTCTATTTTTATCATAATTTTGTATATTAAAAATACCCTTAATTTTTATATTTATCATAAAAGTGTATATAAATCTTCTTATGCAAGCCTTTCAGCTTTATTATTATTATTTTTACAAAAAAATTAGGTGAAAAAAATTATTTCACTTTAAAATCAAGGCATATTACATGTTTCAACAAAAATTTACATTAAATTTACAAATTATTCATAAAAAAATCATTAAAGTCAAATTTAATCCTTGCAAGCATAATCGATGATTACCAGTTCTATCAAAATGTGGCCCACTTTTATTGTCTTTATTCATAGACGTCAAAGGGAATGGTGGATACATGCAGAAATAATTACTAAACCTTTAAATATGATTTCGCAGTCTCTACCAATATTTGGCATTGGCCGGTGAAGCATATATTCTATACATTGCAAGAACAATTAGAACGATTCGTAAGAAAATATTGCCAAAAACAGTGAATTAACCAATTCATATGAATTTTCTAATTTGGTTGGTTAGCTTCTTATCATCTTATATTTCTCTGGATAGTGGCTGGTAGTTACGTAATTGAGTGGTTAAGTGTTTAATTTAAAATTAATTAATGATAAGTAAAAGAGTTTAATTTAAATATAATATAAAATAAAATTCAAAATCTAATTATGTGTAGATGAAAAAGAAAATTGATAAATTTAAAAAAGATAAAAGATACTAGTAATAGATAAAAATAAGCATTTTTCTATGTGCAATAGCAGATACGGACTGGCGGTGAAATTAATGCTAAAGAAGCATTTTGAGCGTGATTTCGCTTCGGATACTTGTTTTCTTGTTGGAAAACGATGCATAAATGCCTAATATACGGAAATAGCATTCCTCAACAAACAGTCTCACTATTGGCCAAAAAACAAAAAAAACCCACTAAGTACTAGTATTTGGTTGGATGGTTTTGACTTTGTTTTAGAAGAGAATCCAGATCACACATCCTTGGACCTTGATGTGCCACTGCCAACCCAACCCTCGTCATTCTAATTGGTTCGTCGACGGTATACGCCGAGCTGCCTATAAGCAAGCGCCTGTTAACATTTCGTAACAAAATCAATTAACATCTCCAATTAAATCACCGGGGATCTTAGGCTACACTAATAATTAGTAAATCGTAACATACTTCATTTAAGAAAATGAAGTTTCGTTTTTTTTTTTTTTTTTACTGCAATAACTATAAGATATCCAAGATGAAGGGTAGGGGAGCCATGTTTTGATAGTTTCGAAAAATGATTGTGAGGTTAAGTGGACTTTGGGATGGAGATCCGCTGAGATTTCAATCAACTTTCATACGTGGAGAAAAAAAATTACTACTAGTATGAAAAACAATTTTAAAAGTTTTTTCCCCTCGATACATGGATACATGATATATATAATATACTGCTAAAAGATCAGACAATATTAGATTTTTTTTTTTTTTTGAGATCTGAACTGGTAGCAATTAATGTCATAAACGTGCGTAACTACTAATGGCTTGTAGGATATATGAGTTGGAATGAATATGATATTTTTGAGAGTTGAGAGTTAGTGTTGCTTGTAACTTGTTAGTAGTAATTCGTAGTAACAAACAGGCCAAAACCATTGGAAGACTTAGCCTGAGAAGCGGGCACATTCAACCCAATCAAATATCTCCTCAAAATCAATACCTTCTTTCGCACTTGTCTCCAACCTGCAGGGCCAACTCTCAGCCGACAAATGGAGACGACGCCACTGCTAAACGGGGCACCATCTACGACTAGTACGTTAACGCTGTTGGAGAATGGAGACTATGCGCCGCTGAGGAGCTTCAAGGAAGCGAAGTCGGTGTTTTGGATAGAGACGGTGAAGACGTGGAAGATTGCAGGTCCCATTGCTTTCCAAATAATATGTCAATATGGTACCAACTCTTTTACTAATATATTCGTCGGCCACATCGGTAATGTTGAACTCTCTGCAGTCACCATTTCTCTTACTGTCATCGGAACTTTCTCTTTCGGCTTCATGGTTTGTCCTCTCTCTCTCTCAATTTCTCTCTCCATGTCCATTAGTATGATTTTAAAGTTACGATTACATTCATTTTAGGATATTTTTAAGAAAAAAATTGTAATTAATGTATAATTGTTTCTCACTAACCGGATCCATTTGCTTATTTCCTTTTTTTGTAAAGTGAATTTCATTGCTGATTTCCAAGTCTCCCTTGTTCACATAAAACAATCAACCAGAGGTACTCAAGCCCTCTCCCCAAAAGGAACTCTTTGTCATGTAGTGGGCCACCATATTGACATGCCTGCTCTCTCATGACGTGAAATTTTGCAGTCTACTTTTAATCTCCTCCATGAGATTTAGGTTCCTGTCCTTTCGCCTTTATTGATGTCCTTTTCCCTTGCGTCATCCTCAAGCTCAATTTGGAGAAGGCCCGTCTCTGATGCCATCTTTACTGCTTTCACCATTGCCAGTGCATCAATTACCATGGGGTCTTTTATCCCTGGGATCCGTTTGCCCCTTACTTGTCGGACCCCACCAGCTGAGTCACCAACTACAACACCTTTGCCCCCCAGACCCTTGTCTACGTCCAGAGCCCCATCACAATTTATGTAAACCTTGTCCTCATGTGGCACCTGTCACTTGTCTGCGGTTTTTGTTGTTGAATTTTTTGTATGCTCCTGTGCTCTCTTATACTCTTCCATGAATTGAATGGCAAAACAAGCTGTAAATTGGCTACTTTGTTGTTCTTGACATGATTGTTCCTATTTGCCCATATCGCCCATATCGCCCAAAATACCGTTAACACCTTCTCCATCATATCTTCCTCAAAATCCATGGTAATTCCTCTTAACCATTGACCAACCCTCTGTTCTTGGGATTCCTCATCTTGGCTATTCAATCCCACTTCCTGCCATACTGCCGCTGCTCTCGGGCATTCAGCTATGGCATGTAGCTCCGTTTCCTCCCCGCATTGCATCTCTGAGACTCTGACATCCCGCTTGTGCAACTATTTTCTTTCGTTGTAAATTTTAATAGACAGGAAAGATTTCGTTGCGCCTCCTCCTGCCGAAAACCTTCAGTTTGCTTGGGAGATCCACATGTCATATTTTTTTCCCATAACTTCCTTTCCCTTGCCTCTATGCCATCCATGTTTTCTTCCTGATTTACTTGCACCTGTTATTCATGTACGTACTGAATGTGGTATCCACTTTTTACAATGTACATCCCGTCCTTATTATGGTGCCAAACAAGAATGTCCTTAGCATCTACTCCACTCAGCGGTATTTCCATGATGTTCTTCACCGTATCTGTTGAAAATCTTTGTAAAAGCTTATCCCCATCCCATCTACCTGCCTCCTCGTCTTCAACCATTCCATCATCCGGGTTACCACTTTCTACTGGCGTGGGTGTGAAAGTTTAGGGCTGCATTTGTTATGAAAAATTGTGCTGAACGCACCAAACATCCGGTTGGATGTATAATCTGATGTGCGAAAACAAGCTTTTTTTTTTTTAACTGGAGGTTTCAGGTCAAGCCGATAAAGGGCCAATTGATTTTTTTGTTTTAACTTTTTTATCCTTTAATTTGACTTACTCTCTTCCCTTTTTATTTTAATTTTTTCAAAAAATTATAAAATAATTTATAATTAACATAATAAAAATACTGTTTAATATATTAATTATTTATTTATTTTATTAACAAAAATATTATTTATCATAAAAATATTTTTATAAGTTAAATAATTTAAAATTTTTATTACATATAAATTTTAAACTAATATTTTTAATGATTATTTTTTATTTTATTATAATTCATCTTATTATCACCATTACATTTATATCTAATCATATATTTTTATCATTAATTTTAATCTCACTCTTATAATCTCATTTTTACTACTGTTTTTAATCGAAACTATTCTCACGCCCAACTAAATAGACCCTTAGTCCTTGGAATCCATAGATCATGCCATATCTTCCCTACCCTTAAAAATACTTTTCCACATATAAGAGGAGCTCTGTCCCACACTTGCTTCAAGAAAAAAAGAATGAGGAAAGTATTTAGTCTTAAGAACCCTGTAGAGATCCATTTGCTAATTTCAAATATATAATTTTGGGAATCAAAATGTAAACTGAGGAAGTGAATGAATGAAAGTCAAATTAATAGTATTTATATTTTAGAAAACATTTGAATTTCTTTCTTTTAGTACTATCAAGAAGGAAAAATGAGAACCCTACACGTGAACCATGATTTAATTTGTATCTGTTTCAAACTATAACATAAGCACACTAGCTACAACATTCCATCAAATTATGTGTTTTTCTTGTCTTCTTCGTCACCCTCAAGAAGCTAATATTGTCAATTATAGGATTATAATTAAGCCTTTGGTTTTTAATACTAAATAAAGTCCCTCTTCCCTGGCTAATATGTAGTGGGATTTGAAAGCATGAACATTTTCTTTGCAATGGTTTGGCAACACACTTTTATAAAGTTGTTGACTTACAGACCCTGATTTACTGTGCAAATTATTAACATGTAGCTTGGCATGGGGAGTGCACTTGAGACACTTTGTGGTCAAGCTTTTGGTGCAGGACAAGTACACTTGCTTGGGGTTTATATGCAAAGGTCCTGGATTATCTTGCTTGCCACCTGTTTCATTCTTTTGCCGTTTTACATTTTCGCCACCCCAATACTTAAACTTCTTGGCCAAGAAGATGAGATCGCTGACCTGGCTGGGCAGTTCACTATACTTACCATCCCACAATTGTTTTCACTTGCCATTACCTTCCCTACTATAAAGTTCCTTCAGGCTCAAAGCAAGGTTAACGTGCTAGCTTGGATTGGTTTTCTGGCTCTGCTTCTCCACATTGGAATTCTATGGCTCTTCATTAATGTGTTCGGTTGGGGTACAACTGGTGCAGCCATAGCATTTGACATCACCAGCTGGGAGATCACTTTAGCTCAATTCGCCTATGTTGTTTTTTGGTGCAAAGACGGATGGCATGGCTTTTCATGGTTGGCATTCAAGGAGATATGGGCCTTTGTTCGACTCTCCATTGCCTCAGCTGTGATGCTTTGCCTAGAGGTTTGGTACATGATGAGCATGATTCTTCTTGTTGGTAACCTTAATAATGCAGTGATTGCAGTCGGTTCCCTTTCTATATGGTGAGTTCATAAAAGCTTCGCATAAAATATTTTTTTTGAATCATTTCATATTATTGTACCTTATTACTGTTGATTTCAATCACTTTTCAATGTTAATTTGGAAGTGCAGAAAAATTTTGACTTTTGTGTCTTAACAATCTGTTTTCTCATTCTGGATATTGAATATGGATGCTAAGATGAGCAATTGGGATTGAAAAAAGGAAAAAGTTTCAAAAGAAGCAACGTATTTAATCAATTATGTAAAAGGATATTAAAGGAGTCCAGCTAGTTAATTTTACAATTCTTTGGATTGCTGTGATGCATTTTTTAAAAAAATTTATGATCCATTTTTTAAAATTATCTAAGCTTCTTACTTGTTTGCTTGATTTGATTTTGTGTGACAGTCTGAATTTGAATGGGTGGGAAGCCATGTTGTTCATTGGAATAAACGCTGCTATGAGGTAAATGCTAAGAATCTGCATAATGCTAAGAATTCATCATTTTCAGATTTTTCTCAAACATTTGTTTCCTTTTTGGCTGAATATCCATAAAGCACACTGGCATGATTACCATGTAAACTGAAAATTTTCGGCAGCCATAGCAATAGTGATCTTATCTTAGTCGAAATTAATGTTAATGTTAAAGGTTCCACAGAACAGCTGCCTTCTATGGCTTTGTAAATTTTCCTAGTTTGCTTTGCTGAATCAAAGGGTTTATTGCTTTACTTTTTCTTGGATGATGAAGCATCTTAAAGCAATCGATTTCACATTCCGGTCCTGTTTTCTCAGCGTTCGGGTTTCCAATGAGCTTGGATTGGGACATCCAAGAGCAGCCAAATACTCTGTATATGTTACCGTGCTTCAGTCTCTCTTCATTGGGCTTTTCTGCATGGTTGTTCTTGTTATAACCAGGGACCACTTTGCTGTCATTTTTACTAGCAGCGAAGAAATGCAACGAGCTGTTGCTCATCTGGCATACCTTCTTGGTGTGACCATGGTTCTTAACAGTGTTCAGCCTGTGATATCAGGTGTCAATATGTTTGGTTTCCATTTTCTTTTGGCTGTGAAATTAATTGCATAATTTTGGCTCTTCTCTTGGTTATATACACTCTTCTATGCCATTCTTGTAGGTGTTGCTGTTGGCGGAGGATGGCAGACATTGGTTGCTTATATTAACTTAGGTTGTTATTATGTTTTTGGTCTTCCGCTCGGCTACCTACTTGGTTATAAAGCAGACTTAGGAGTGATGGTATGGTGTTTCTGTTTCACTTCCTCTCCCCTCCTCTCTCTGCATGATGAACAAGCTACCAGTTTCCATTGGATTCTAATTAGTTTAATGTCAAAAAAAGGCATTGTCTCCAACGGTGGCATTATGCATTCAGCAGCCATGTCTCTCCTCTGATAGAAGTCTCAAGCTAAAATTCTACTCCAACACTCTGACCAAAATAACTTTTCTTCTCACTATTGCAGGGACTTTGGGGAGGTATGATAGCTGGAGCTGCTTTGCAAACCTTGCTTCTCTTGATTGTTCTCTATAGAACCAATTGGAACAAGGAGGTCAGTTAAAATTACTTTTATTATATGCTCACCAGATAATGGTGTTTTTTCAGTTTTAATTTTGCATATAATAGAGCATAATCAAATAGAAAATGAATATGATTTCATTTTGATTGTGTATGGTTAATAGCGTTCTGTTTTTCTCTAATGAAATCCAGGATGTTCAAAATTCTAAGTAGTATATTAATTCATTTGCATTGCAGGTGGAACAAACAACGGAACGAATGAGGCTGTGGGGTGGCCAAGACATCAGTACTGACAGGATAAATAATAGCATATGAGATCAGTTGTTAAAAGAATGACAATATAGATATTAGCCTTTAGCAGCAGTTTCGTTTTATTTCTGGTTAGTTGATATTGAATACTGTCACAAGATGACATGAATCCCTGTTTTTGTCCCTCGTGACTTTTATATGGAGGCATTTCCAATTATAGATTTAAAAATGAAAAAAAAAGTCAACCGGTTTTTGGATGCATTTGGCATCTGAAAAGGTTGATGCTTTTCTAATTGTAAATTTTTGGACTGATGACATCCCATATCAATTACTATAATTTACAAGGAGATGATGAACGGCAAGGGTTTCAAATATACGAGTAGCCCTTTTTATGATACTTCATGGACAGTACTAACTTTTTATGATGCTCCTTTCACATGACACATCCACAAGGCTTACAGACAAGAGAGCAGCCATCCAGGTAAACCAGGTTTGTCTCACGGCTGCAATTCCATCATACAAATAGTGGTGACTGCTCAGAGCAGACTTGACGTTAATTCAATGCAAACTGATATGATCATACATTTTGCAAATCGCGAGACGGAGACCGTTCGCAATTCCATTTGTCAGGAGCATTTTGCTCCTGGAATTGATTGTTTTAGTTTTGCAGAAGACAGGCATTGAGGGAGAGGGAATGGGAATCAAAGCAAACATTAGCGACAAATGTTCAAAAACAACATTGATATTGAGTTTTAATCAAACATAAGTTACAAAAAAAAAAACGAGGAAACATTACAGAAGGCTGAACGGACAGTTTCCCTACTCTACCAAAATTCCATCTGTTTTCTAACAAGCATGAAACATTGAATTTAAGCCAGCCTGGAGAACATTATGCAGCAGCTTTCTGTTTCTTTGGCATTCGGTAGCCACCAACAACACAGGCATGGTCACGCTCAAAAGGTTCAAGAGTGACTTGCTCGAAAGGCTTGAACTGCTCCTGTTGCAATTTCTTAACTTCATTCTGAAATACAGCCTCAGCAGGAACAGTGGAGTCAATGCAGTTCGCCTGAAAACAAATATCAATTCAAGTTAAGACAACATATTGAACTGAAAGCTTCTAGAGAAATTGAAGTATCACATATGAACTTCCCTGTCTCAAAAAAACCACAAATTTCACATTTTAAGTTTAAAATCACAAAATTTTGGAACACTAACCTTGATTGAAATAACAAAATGACCTCCAGTTTTCAGGAAATATGATGCATTCAAAGCCAGAATCCTTGCCTGCAAATAAAGTTAGAAGAAAACAGACTCAGAAACAAAAGGAAAACAGGAAGATAACATCAACTCATCACCACCGTAAAGGATATGAGATAGATAAGTTGAGTAGTCTGGATGATTGTCAGCGGACTAAAATCAGAGCTGTTAAATTATCATAGACTCATTAAGTGCAATAAAGAGCACTGATGGAAATAGATGCTTTCTCTTTTTCAATTTTTGCAATGCATGTCTATAGCAAAGAATGTATGAGCTTGCAAAACAAAGAAAAAAAAGTTTCCAAATACTAGAGTAACATGTTTTAACAATGAAAGAACCAAAAAAGAAATTAAATAATCGAATATATACAATTACTACTCTTAAGAGAGTAAAAAAAAACCAATGCTTGTTAAAAAAGAAACCTTGCATAACCATGATAGAAAGATTCAAAGAAGCATCAGAAACTTGGTATTGCATCCCCCATGATGTCTTGAAGGGAAATCCGAGTAATTCATCATTTGCAGTGATAAAGTCAAATAAAAATAACATGAAGAAAAATAAGGTATAAGAGAGAGAGGCTGCTATAGAAGAGTTTCATAGACATACTTCCAGGTAAACAGGAAGTATATTTAAATTTCAATTCCTGGCAGCCAAGTAATAGTATCAGTATAGTAAAAAAACCCAGAAACATAATTAAAAAAAAAAAAAGAAGAAAAACTTCCTATAAACCAAGTTTGTGAACCATTTAAAGTTCATGACTTAATATTGCATCAGAAAACTCGAGTTTGCATCACCCATGAAGTCTTGAAGGGGAATCTGAATAGAGTTAATCATATGCACATTATAGACGATTCAGCAAATAACATCACAATCTCAAGCAGACAGTTGTTAATTCAGCAAATAAACCTGATCCTCATGATTGTTTTTCACTGTTATCTAAATCGAACATGGTCACAAATACTCAAAGCAAACCTGATCAGGTTGAGCAACATCAGAAAATATCACATCCACCATGCCAACCAGCATCCTGTATTTCGATGGATGCCTAGCATCTTCAATTATAGGTATAACATTTGTTCGCTTCTTAGCCATGTTGACCAAGTCTCTACCACTTCTGTGAGAAAATTCCACAGCATAAACCACTCCATTCTGACAAACAAAAGACAGACAATAAGCAACTCAGCAAGATAGAAACAAAGACAATGTTTGCGTCAATACTATACTTACAGTACCAACAATGTCAGATACGTGAGAAACAGTGGTACCAGAAGCAGCTCCAAGGTAGAGAACCTTGGCACCGGGTTTCTTGATTAACAAGAAAAAATAATTGAATTAGACGGTTGTTATGAGAGATACACATAATGTACATTGAACAAAAACAAAAAGAGAGATGAAAGCTCACGATCCATATATTATCAACACCACCAAGAATTGCAGCTGCCAACTTGGATCGGAAAGGATTCCAAACCCTGTACTCAACTTTGGTCCCGTCTTCATTCTGTTAAGGCAAAAACATAAAAGAACCTCAATTTGTCATTGCAAGATTAATCATACTCTTGGCAACAAGTGGAAGAGCAAAATACCCAAGTAGCCAAACACAGAGCATATTCAATAAATCACATCAATTATCTTATCGACCCATATAACAGAACGAAAATGGACTGAGTTATTAGAAAGACAAAATGACCTGGACAGCAATCCTCTTTTCATTGTAGACAGCCTCGCCAGGGACCATATTCTTAGTAACAAGAGCATCTTCTTTACCCTTGGCAACAAAAACTCCCTCGTGTCTATGGGGCTCTACTACAACCTTGCTCCCACCTTTCATTCCTCCTCTTCCTCCACGCCCTCTTCCTAAACCTCGGCCACCACGTCCCCCACCACGGGACTTCATGGCACTGCCCCCCCTATCGCCACCTCTTCCTCTTCCTCTCCCTCCATCACCTCTGCCCCTGAACCCACCACCACCACCACGGCCTGCACATAATCAAACCATTAGAAATACCAATAACGAGACTCCAAACTAATTTAAAAAAAAAACATAAAGAACTAAACTGCTTCTTAGCTCCAAACCATCAGACGCAGATGCTGCTCTAAATTACAAAGAAAAATAAGAGGCACTAGTTACCTCTTGGGGGTCTCATCCCTGGTAGAGTCTGAAAGCAAAGAGAGTGAACAGCGAGAAACTAGGGAAACAGAGAGAGAGTGAGAGACGAAGCAATTTTTGGGGCATATGCTAGGGTTTATAGCTAGGCCTAAAACCCAGGGTTTATAGTTTAGATGAGACTAAGGCCGCATTTCGGCCAGAAGTAAAAAATCGAGGGCTTGTGAAACCTTTTCTATATTGAACGGTAAACCATACAAATGGGGACATTAAAGCCCAAAGTCACAATTCAATTGTTTCTGCGCTGATTAGTGATTTATCAGTAAGATCCGGGTTCGAGATATAACATTATATTATCAAACAGAAGATGAGAATAAAATGGTGGTTATTGACTTTTTCCTTAATTTGATAGCGAGTAATCACCATGGTTGTTTTGGACTTGAATGATAAAAAAAAAAAAAGTCTCAGTAATTTTAAACACCAATAACCTTGATGAGAAATAAAAATAACAAGTTTTAAAAAGTCCCAATGAGACGGGCTTACATAAGTTTGAGTCTAATATAATTTGGGTTTGGGTCTTCAAGAATAAAAATTCAAGCTTGCCAGTAAGCATCAAACATTGTGTGTGTGTGATAATCCAACCAAGCCTTAAAAGAAAGGGTTTCTAAATTATCTCCCAAATTACTCTATACATCCCATCTTTTGGTGACGAGCTCTGACCTATGACCATTCCTAGAAAGATAAAAGAGAAGAAAATGACGATTAAAGGCAAATGTAAGGTATGCTTTTTGTGTTTGTACTTGATACACTACTTAGAAAGGCTAAGATTAGAAAAAAAGTAGGAAAGAAAGAAAATGGGTAGGATCAATTTGCCTTAATGGTGCTTGGACCTTAATATTTATAAGAAAGCTGTGAAAGACCATTAGGGGACAATAATGATAATACTGAGTTGATGTGATACTAAGTATGTTAGAGACTTGATATGTTAGGTCGACATAAATGATAAAAATACCTTTGGTTGTTTGTTGAAGGTTTCAAAGAGAAAAAATACCAATATGTCTTTTTGATCATCAAATGGCCCTAACACTCTATCCCTTTACTAGGCGGTCTGAGTATTAGATCACCGAATATATGATCGACGTCCCCAGTATAAGATACATTGGTCAAAGGAAATAACATGGAAGTTTGATTATTTTTGGCCAACGTTATAAAAGGAAAGATGGTCTTAGAGGATGTGTTGGCCTTGATTTGATCAAGAGTTTTGATTTGACAAAACAAAAATTTGTCTAACTTGAATCAATCTTTTCTAAGTTTAAATTGAACATTTTTTCACCTTTCTATCTTGCCAAAATACATTTGAGAACCAAAACAAGTCAAATTCTCGGAATAAAACTTGAAAAGTGCAAGTTTTGATAGAAGGGATTAATCCCCTAAGAGAAAGGATCGATCCCTTCCTTACCAGATCGATCCCTTAGTAAAAGGGAGCGATCTTATCTTTTTTCAAAACCAAAATTCTTCATGTTTTGACAAAAACCAATCGATCCCTTTCATGTAGGGATCGATTAGTTGGGGTTTCAAATTGACTAGATCGATCCCCTCATTCAAGGGATCGATCATTTTTTCATACAGAAAGTTTTCATCATGCTATTTTCCAGAAAAAGGGATCGATCTCCCCACATAAGAGATCGATCACCGAAGGCAAAGGATCGATCCCCTCTTCAAGGGATCGATCGATTGCTCAAACAGAATACTTCAAAGTTTGAAATCCAGAAAAGGGATCGATCCCCCTACATAAGGGATCAATCACCTAAAGAATGGATCGATCCTTTAGATGAAGGGATCGATTGGGTAAGGCATTTTAGGCACAAAATCGTGCCTTCTCTAACATAAACCAATAGATCCTCTAGAGGAAGGGATCGATCCTTTGAAGGTTAAAAACTCCCAACGACTATTTTTGTCTGAAATTTTTTACAGGTTTCAAGTATTAAATGCGTTTCAACGGCTCTCAACTTCTTTCTACCTATAAATCAAGCATTTAACTACAGATCAAGGGTAACTAGAGCCAAGAAATCTTATTGCTATCACCTACCAATTTGCTCAAGCATTCAAAGCTGTTCCAAGTTAAAAAAATATAGAATTTATATCAGTTTTTCTCTATTTTCTTGTCCAAACTATTGTGTACTTCAAATTAGCAAACACCCAACCTTTAAGATTGCAAAACATTTTAAAAATTATGTGTTTTGAGTTTGTAAGCTTAAGAGGGAAGATAATCCTTAAAAGTGTGTATTGTTGAGTTTGCAAAGCTTTGAGAAGCTTGGTTGTAATCTTCAAATCATAGTGGATTGAACTCCTTGGCAAGAGAGGCTAAGGAAAAAGATATAGGTGCCTAAGAAAGGATCGAACCTCTATAAATCTCGGTGTTAAATTCTCTAACCCTATCTCTTATATTCTTTCAATTATTATGTTTAATTATTTAGCAAAATTTGTGCTTATTGAATATTATTTTTGAAAATTTTATTAAAACCAATTCACCTCCTTCTTGGTCTATTCCAAATCTTTGAGCTAACAATTGGTATCAGAGCTAGTACTCTTTTTTTTATAGGTTTAACAATCTAAGAGTGATCCTAAAAATGGCTCAATGAAATATGGTAATCAATGTGAAAAAACCATCCTTAAGCTACAACAACTATAGTGGTCAATAAGAGATGTGTCTTATGGCAAATGAAACAGTTGCAACATCTCTTAGAAGTGAAGGGCACTCAATTGTAAGACTCTCTCTTTTTTTTGTGACAACTATTCTTATTGGAAGACTAGGATGTGGTTGTTCAATCAAGCTAATGACTATGAAGTTTAGAGGGTCATTGTAAATGGTCCTCAAATTCTAATGAAAATGGTGGATGGTAGGGAGGTGATCAAGCTAGAGAGTGAATGAGATGTCAATGACATAAAGATGACTCAACTCAATACCAAAGTAATGCATACATTATTTTGTGCATTGGGGCCAAGTGAGTATAATAAAGTTTTTTTATGTGAAAATACAAAAAAAATTTAGGATAAGCTAGCTGTTACTCATAAGGTACCAATTAAGTGAAAGAGACAACAATTGACATACTCACTCACGATTATGAGCCATTTAAGATGAAACCAAATGAAACTATTAGTGAGATGTCAAACCACTTCACTAACATCATTAATGATTTAAAGGCTCTTGAAAAGACTTACTCAAATGTGGAAATGATGAAAAAAATTTTAACAGTCTACCAAAGAGCTGAAAAGCCAAAGTGACAGCCATTGAAGAGTCCAAATATCCTTACATACTATTTTTGGATGAACTAATGGGCTCTCTCTTCACCTATGAAATGAAGATTAAAAGGGGAAAAGAACCAATCAAAAAGGGTGAAATTGCTCTCAAATCTACCTTTCAAAAAGATGAAGAAAATTTTAGACAAGAAGAGGATGATGAAGATGAAGAAATGGCCATATTTGCAAAAAGATTCAAGAAGTTCATGAGGATGAACAAGTTTTCAAGTAGAAGAAGACCACAAAGGAAGATGACTAAAGAAGAATCAAGTATAAGAGAAAAGGGATCAAATTATTTACTATGAATGCAACAAATCAGGTCACATTAAACTTGATTGTCCTTTGTGAAAAAAGTAAAACATGACAAAGCCAAAGAAAAAAACTATAGTAGCAACATAAAATGACAGTGACTTTTCCAATGATGAATCAAATGAGAAAAAAGTAGCAAATCTATATCTCATGGCTCTTGATGAGTCCAAGGTAACCTCTAATCCATGTGATTTAAATTCAAACATATTTGATGAACTACAAGATGCCTATGATGAATTAGCCATAGAATTTGAGAATATGAGCATGAAATATAGAAAAATGGTCTCTAAATTGAAACTAGAAAATGAATCATTGACTAAAGCAAAAGAAGACTTAAAAAGGAAAATTGAGCTCTTAAAGTTGAATGTCAATGACCTGACTGAAAAAAATGAAAATTTGCATAATTCTTTTTCTAGATTTTATATGGGACATCAAAAGCTTAATGACATGCTTGAAACACAAAGAGTTTTCTTTGATAAAGATAGACTAGGCTATAATAGTGGTAACAAAGAAACTCATTTGAAAAATTTCCTTATTAAGCCAAATGATTCATCTAGCATATGTGCACATTGTCATAAATTAGGTCATTCAATACAATATTGTTCCTTGAAGAAAATCACTTATAGAGGTAAGCTCATTAGGAGAGTGTGGATTCCAAAAGAAGTTAGCACATCTCAAGATGAGATTACTAAAATGAAATGGATTCTAAAAGGCACAAAAATTGTTAGTACTAACACTTAAGGACCCAAGAAAATTTGGGTACCCAAAACAAAAATTTAATTGTGTTTTTGTAGGTGGATAAGCATTGCTATAAAGTCAATTCAAGTAAAACAATCCATGGTACTTGATAGTGGATGCTCAAAACTTATGATCGAGGATAAAACTCTTTTTAAGGATTTTAAAGCGAAAAGTGAAGGAGATATTACATTTAGTGACAACTCAAAAGGCCAAATTGAAGGGATTGGCTCAATTGGTAACAATTCCTCTACTACTATTGAAAATGTTTTACTTGTAAAAGGATTCAAGCATAATTTACTTAGCATTAGTCAATTGTGTGATAAAGGATTTAGGGTTGTGTTTGAATTCATGTGCTGTCAAGTAATTGATATAAAAAATAACAAACTTATTTTTATTGGACATCGTCAAGAAAATATTTATGTAGTGCATCTAGATGACCTATCTTCTAAAAATGTTTGTTTTATGTCTAAAAAAGAAAATGAGAGTTAGATTTGGCATAGAAGGCTTGGACATACAAGTATGCATGTAATTTCAAAACTTTTTCAAAATGATTTGGTTGTTGGTTTGCCAAAGTTGAAATATGAAAATGATAAGGTTTGTGATGCATGTGCTCAAGAAAAACATAGAAGAATTTCTTTTAAACCTAAGAATTGCATTTCAACTACTAGACCTCTTCAACTACTTCATATTAATCTTTTTGCCCTACTAGAACAATGAGTCTTAGTGGAAAATAATATGGGTTTGTTATTGTTGATGATTTTACTAGATTCACATGGGTTCTTTTTTACATTCAAAGAATGAGGCTTTGGAAAAATTTATCACTTTTAGCAAACAAATACAAAATGAAAAGGTTATTCAATTACTAGTATTAGAAGTGATCATGGAAAGGAATTTGAAAATCTTAGCTTTAATGTATTTTGTAGTGAAAATGGTATTAGCCACAATTTTTTTGCATTTAGAACTCATCAACAAAATGAGGTAGTAGAAAGGAGAAATAGAACCTTAGAAGAAATAGCTAGAATCATGCTTTGTAAAAATAATTTACCTAGATATTTTTGGGCAAAAATCATAAATACTT